AATGGGTGAAGACTGCATGGACAGAGTGAGTGAGTGAGTTGGGTTTAACGACGCTTTGAACAGTATTCCAGTTCTATCACGGCATGTCAGCTTGATGTGGGAGGAAAGCCCCAAGTGATGCAGGTCTCAGACGTTTACCACTTCAGTGAAACCCATGAGCACGGGTATGGTGCTGACAAACCTAGAAACATATTTGGGGCGAACCGGGATTCGAACCTACAATCATAGGTTTCTGGCGTGCCCAAGGGACGCAACTCTGCACAGCGAATCGCGGCGCCTTAGACGACTGGGCCACCTGTGCCCCCTGCATGGACAAAAATACCAGCTGACACAGTAAAGCATAGTTTCCTATAGTGTGGGATTGCGAACGCAATGGAACAGATCAGAGGACGATTGTTTGTACGAGGATCTAGTTAATGCTGAATGCGAGAGAGACACAACCGACAGTCGCCGACATCCCAGATGATTTTGAGGATGAACTTAATGATTACTACGACGACAGAACAAATTCGACAGCCTGGGACATTCTTTGTGCAGCAGAATCCGACTCGGAGTTTGACGGCTTCACCGAGGCCGATATTATATTCTGTTCTGTTCTAATGACAGCAAACTGCAAGGAAGCCTGCAAAATACTTTTGTGATTTTATGTATGTTTCTGAATGATGACTGTATGCTTTATACACAGCGATATACGGTATACAACTTTCCCATAGAGCAAGAATAAGTATCTCCTTAACTGTTAATTTAGATGTTCTCTTAGACAGGTGAGGGGAGGTGAAATGGGGTTTAACATCACGTTCAAGATTATTGCACTTATATAGCGACATGCATGCACGTGTGTGTGTGTGTGTGTGCGTGTGTGTGTGTGTGTGTGTGTGTGTGTGTGTGTGTGTGTGTGTGTGTCTGTCTGTCTGTGTGTGTCTGTGTGTGTGTGTGTGTGTGTGTGTGTGTGTGTGTGTGTGTGTGTGTGTGTGGCTGCTTGTACTTGTCCGGACTGATGCCAATTTATAGTGCTGGCCCATCGATACCACGCCGCAGTTTGACATGAATACCCCACTCAGACTCAGTATACTGACTAGTCCTTGTTTTAGCCCCTTAATGCCGAGCACCAGACAGGGAGGGTAACAACAGGTGAATGATGAAGGAGTAAGCATATACTCCGAAACGTTGTGTTCCTCTTCAACCATAATAAAGAAGTTGACATCCATATATTCTCTTCCTCATGTGTATCACTTCTAAATGCCTTTCAAAACCTCGTAGGTTTTCATGTCAATATGCACCTGGTGCAATTTAAATCAATTTCCTTAAATTAAGCCCTGGTGTCTGAGTTGCATATCCATGTTAACAACTGGGGCATGGTATCCTGATGTGCTAGCAGTAAACGTCTGAAATTTGAACCATAAGAGAATAAAAATGAACCCTGTTTTCATCTAACGTTCTCAATTGCACACCCACATATGCTCAGATTTCAATTTGAATCATTTGACATTGAAAAAAAAAAATTCGCATCCAAACCGAGCAGAATGACAATAAAACGTGTTATTGCACTGTAAAATACAACATATCTTAATTTACAAAACCATACAGATTACAACAAATTACAAATTGTACAGAATAACCCTGGTATGTGTAAAAAAGGCCTGAGTTTTTAGTGTGGAACTGGATTTAAGTATCCTACACCTACTGTCTGAACACTGGAAAAACTTCAATTCATAATACATGACCTGTGCAATAATTATTAATATACTAGTCAATAACACCAAAAGAAAATACAATCGTGACACTCAATACAATAAGCAAAACAATTCATGCAAAAAGCCTGAGGATTGTATGACCGCACTATGTACCTGTTTCTACTAAACATGCGACATGATCTGACCCCTGTCGGAAACAGATTCCAATAATTGGGATGACATAGAGCTAATAAAAAACACTTGAATCTTTTGTTCCTCTAATATACTGGCCAGGTTAAACTTCAGAATAGTTTCAGGAGAAATAATCTGTATAATCTTGATCAAAAATGAAATAAATTTGTTTGTGTAAATTGAGCTGTGACGTCTCCAACTGGGGAACATGTTTGCTTTTTCATTGCATATTTGTTGTTTAAAGCTGCACTCAGCAATGTTCAAGCTATGACAGTGGTCTGTAAATGATCGAGTCTGGGCCAGACAATCCAGTGATTGATATCACGAGCACTGATCTACGCAATTGGGATACCATGACATGCATCAACCAAGTCAGTGAGCCTGACCTGCTGACAAGAAGTTGACATTAACCAATCAGAAGGCAGCTTTCTCGTGCTTTACGGCACTAATTTCAAATTGTCGACTACACTTCGAAACATATTTTGACAAATTCTCGCTTAAAAATTTGAAACCTGAACAAAAGAACATTCTCGAATGGCTAATATATGGTCTAGATTGTATTGATTCAGTCGTTTACTCCGTAACTATCGTTCGGAATACCCCGTTTAAAAGTTTTCAAGGCTGCATGATTAGAAATCCCATTCCGACTGTCACTTTCATGATCTGGTAAGGGACGCTCTGATTGGTCGGATGAAAGGTCATTCTGACGTGACCCCTAATGGGATGTCATCAGATCTTTGTTTAGCGGTAGAAAGAACTAAGATCTGATTTTAATGAGATTGACTAATGCTTCAAATATAAAATACATGTGAACTTTTATACATTGTATATCATAGAATCTAAGACAGTGACTGATATTAATTTGTTGAATAAGATTTTATGTCATACTGGCTAAAGTAGAGATTCCGTGAGGCATATGATTAAAAGAAACAAATTGCACCAAAAACTAGTCAAGACACTTTCAAGTCCATAAAATCATGATAATGTTCATGTTTAACACAAATACAAAACAATCATACATAGTTCAAAATGAGGGTTAAGGAATAACAGAGTCATGAATTCTAGATCTTATAACTGATATGATAAATGAAAGATGCATGGTAGAAATTTCGCTTACATTAATTTCAAAAGACATTCATAAATTATTGCAAGAATGGTTTTGTGTCAGTTGTGTAAAGCTTGTTTTGTTCCAGGTGACCTCAGGGCTCCAGATAAGCTTCTGGTGTTGTGGGTATTTTACCCATGCATTTTAAAATCATTGGGTATCAGTGATTCTATCTGGGTATATAAATTTCTGTTACCCACTAGTTTTTACACATGTGGGTCTCTAAGTTAAATATTTAAAAACAATATTCATCTAGTCCCTGCAAACTGGTGTCGTGAGGGTTCGAGAGCTTTATCGAGTTACAAAAATACCACAATACTTCCACAAGGAAGTGTGATGGCAAATGATCATGATGTAACTGTCATCGTGGAGTTTGGCAAGGTTGACGGAATGCCCGTTTATAATTTCAAATTAATTTGCTGATTTGCTAATCGAATATGCAGGGTTACTTCACAATATTTTGATGATACGCACAAGTTTTAATTTTTGTAGCGTATCTGTAATGTTCGTTGCGTATTTGATACGCTTGGATTTTATTTTACTGCATATTTCTGCATTTCTGATGCGTATTTCACCCAGATACGCAGCTTATCTGGAGCTCTATACCTATTTGAAGTTACATGAGGCTTGAAATACAAATTTGTCTGGTACTGGCACATGATAGAAAAAAGAATGAAAATTCGGGCTGTTTGAACCAATTGGACCTTACAAAGGGCCAATTAAGTCTGAATACTCAATGAAACAGATGACAAACCATCCATCTACATTTCTCAGGCAGGCAGAAATCATCCATTCTTCAAAATACTTGTTTTCATAAATTACACTCATATCTCACTATACAAAATAACATTGCACAAGAACACTTCTATTATAATTATTATGTGGAAAATAAAATAGAATACTGCATTCAAACAATCAGTGTCTAACACAGGGATACTCTCCTGTGAAATCAGGCTGCACTGCCTTTTCTCCCACCTGCTTGTTGAGCAAGTATACTAGTTACATAAACAAGTATAATTAGACATAATAATTCAAGCTTTTTCATTCCGTATATAGATGGGCAAAAATATAACTAGGCTGTGGCTTCAGGCAGGCGGCTAAAGGCACAGACGGCCCTCATTAAGAAGGTACACACAGGGATTCATCTAGGCCAGCTCAGAGACACATATTCAGCTCCTATTCTGCAGCAAATGTCAGTACACTTTCCAAATTGGAAAGAAAACCTTCCCAACTCATGATAAAATAGTTGTAACTAATGTTATGGCGTTGTATAAACTTGTACTTCATTGATAACATTGCCAGTAATGATAAAGTGGAAGAGGGTTTTCTGCCGAGTCTTAGATTATTGCAGTGAATGCAATGCTGAGAATAGATTGGTAAACTATGAACTTTTAAAAATTCCAATATTGAGCAAAGTAATGACTTTTTCCTCAAATTGTCTGCCAAGTTTGGAGTCCTAGATAAATCGCTGACACATTACACATCGGCTACACTTGGGGCTAGAATCCGATGCAGCAAAGGAGGATGAGTCTCTCAATGTTAGGTCAACTTTTATAAAAGAAGGTCATGATTCTTATTCACCAACAGGTGAAAGAAAGCAAATCAAGCATGTGAAATAATATTATTGAATGAAGTATGACAACTGTTTTACTTCTTGAGTAAATATTGTGACCAATATAGGGAAACATAAACAATTCCGATTTAATTCTCTCACAATTCCAAGTCAGCTGTCTGTTGTGGTTTTCACGAGATCTGTGATGGCGGTAAGAAGAATCAGCCACCTAAATTCTGATTACAGTGTAATATAAGAGGAACTAAGATCCTCTGAGATCTGAATACACTTTGACTAAGTTTTCTGTTACTGGTGCTGTACATTGATAAAATGACAATACTGCTTATATGTTGCTTAATACAATACTAATATAATAATAATTTGCGTACTTAAGTATGGATTTGTTGACATGGTATTTCCGATGTTACGTGCTCACGGTAATGTCTTTCCGTTGGGGAAAAAACCATCAAAACTCATTATGGCGTGTATAATGCGCACTCCGTTCTACACAGCTGTTTTGTTGTTTTTTAAAGTGCGCACTATACTCAAGAAAATACAGTAAGTGTATAGTCCGAATTCATATCACTGATGCATCATGGGATAAATATGATCCTCAACAATACGGTCAAAGACTGCTCATTATGGCGTGTATAATGCGCACTCCGTTCTACACAGCTGTTTTGTTGTTTTTTAAAGTGCGCACTATACTCAAGAAAATACAGTAAGTGTATAGTCCGAATTCATATCACTGATGCATCATGGGATAAATATGATCCTCAACAATACGGTCAAAGACTGCTCATTATGGCGTGTATAATGCGCACTCCGTTCTACACAGCTGTTTTGTTGTTTTTTAAAGTGCGCACTATACTCAAGAAAATACAGTAAGTGTATAGTCCGAATTCATATCACTGATGCATCATGGGATAAATATGATCCTCAACAATACGGTCAAAGACTGCTGGCAGTTTGACATATGATATCTGGTTAAAACAGCTTTCAAGAATAACAATGTGTCATATATATCATACTGTTAATATTCGAATGAGCCTGTCTGTATGTATAGATACAGATGTGGTTAAATGTGATGTTCATAAACAACATCATTGTCATGATAATTGTATCTCTACAAATAAACACAACAAAATAATAAAAATCAACAAACAAAATATTAGACCTGTTTCTTTAGAATATAAGTATAGATATCATATATTGTGTATGGAGAATTGTTCAAAGATGTACCAGTCAACAAGTACCACTGATTGGACATTTCAGTGATGGTCAGCCTTTTCTGAAAATACACATTTCTGACTATTGATCCACACTACCATCTCATCAAGGGATGCAGTGGAGATGAGTTGGAAACACTATGCATACACATATACTGATGGAAATGAACAAGGGCACACTTAGTTTTGGACTCAGTAAAATGATGTGCTGTCATAGGTTAACAGGCTTGTCTACCAAATACACGCCGGAAACAATGCACACAAACACGTCTCAACATTTGGTTCCGACATGTTGAAGTACGTGCTATTTCAAACGTATTGACATGAAAGCTTATTTCCCTATATTTTTCATTGTTCCCTTATTTGTTTCCATCAGTATATATCAGTCGACATTCAACAAAGAGCAGTGTGAATCAAATTGACAGAACAAGAAAATGGTTAATATGCTTTTAGCCTGATGAATATACATTTGAAATGGACTTTTTCCTCAATAGGACAAAGTTTATTCATCACCAAACAGACTATGGGTGAATTGGGCTTAACACATCTTTGAACATTATTTCAGTTATACCATGGCATGCCAGCTTAAAGTGTGAAGATAGCCTAAACATGCTAAAGTAAACTTATGTACCACTTCTGTGAAAGGTACAAGTAGGAATCTAGTTGCCACTTCTGTGAATGGTACAAACAGGCATATGGTACTGACATTGAAACACCCAGGACCATATTCTGCAGGAATCTGGGATTGAAACTATTGCTTAGAAGAGGATCCTGGTAGCTGATTGAGCTGACATTGATCACTGGCCCACCTATCCCCAACCCTGGGTGAGACTACATACTGCTATACACAACAGTCTTTGTTATAGGTAATAAGCAAAGTGTCCTACAGCACATGCGCAAATCTCAATCTACATTGGTTGTAGAACCATCCCCGCTGTATTCTGCGACCAAAAAATAAAAATTCTGCAGTCATTTTCTTAAAATTCTGCACACAATTCTGCAAACTTTTAAAGCTTAGTTCGCCTGAAATTCATAGTTTTTCCCCTGTTTGACTTGTGGCAGGCATTGTTCTGATAAACTTATCTATGGCAAGACAAGCCTATTGAAGTGAATCTGGTGATCACGAGTGTAAACATTCAGACATGCATTTTCGGTAAGATAATCAGACAAAAGTCAATTTCACTTCAAAACAAAATTGATTCATTTAACCATTTCTCAAAACTTAAAAAGGTCCAAAAGATCATTTGTAAATTTTCATATCTTTCTTCCATATAACACCTATAATAATTTTTGGAATGATTTAATTAACACCATGCACAATTCAAATACTAACTGTCCGTTTCAGTAAACTTTAATCAAAAAGTAATTTTCTGCATGTACATTTCTGCACTGAGTGGGCTTTTCTGCAAAGCATTCTGTGACTGCAGAATTGCGAAATACAGCGGGGACTGGAAGAAATTGTTATGTCAGGAATTTGAAATTACCCATAACCACATCTTCATCATAAACTGAGTAATATTACTGGTAGATCTGTGTGACTTCTGAACACCATGTTAGAAATAATGTGAGCGCTACAAACCTAATATTAACAATCTTGGATAAGTTAACAAATGTTCAAGCATAGAGAGAATTTCTTTTTCAGCCTGTACTTACACATGGATCTGTAATGATACATTCTCTCAGAAAACTGACTACAATAAAAACACTATAATACATAGCATTCATTCACAATTATCACTTCAAAGTAATTCACAGCAAATCATTCAAGCAATTCATTAAGTATACAGTAATAAACAATCTGAATAGATACAGACCTACGTATCTTCAGTAATGATAGAACACAAAAGTGTTCTATCAAAATCCTTGCCTGTCTCAGATGGCACAAGGCTTTAAACACTTCCAAAACAAATTCGAAAATAAACACTATCCTTTTTCTAAAGTACAACTTCACAATTACACCTACCAACTTTTCAAAGAAAGATCTATGCAAACACTATTTTTCAAATCTATAAAATAACAATTTCTTTTTGACTTTTACAAACATTTTCCATTTCCATTCTTGACTGCCTTTTCTGTTTCTCGATCACTCCTAATTTTCCAGTCAGCAATTTTCCTGAAGATGCACACGCTGATAAGATTCGCACATATCACAAACAAAACTGCTCCAAAGGTACTGTTGAAAGTTGGTGGGGGCAACTTCTTCAAACTTCCTGAGAGCTTCATTCGTAAAATATCTTGATAGACACCATCAAGCTGCTTGTACGAGGTCATCATTATGCAAACATGGAAGATCTGATGGCTGTGACCTAAGAAATCAAATTTACCCGGAAACAACCGTTGTGGAATATCTGACCCGAAAAAGAACCCGCCAGAGAAGAACCACATCATTTGCTGAATATGATGCCCCATGCCGTCGTCCCATGGTTCCTGGCCCATCATGTACAGCATGACGCGATGCCACACCGGAAATATCAGCCAGATATACACAGCAAACACCGAACTCAGCTGCCATATCCGACGTGCGAAAGGATATGGACGGGAGTAACGTGTTTTAGAAATTGAACAACAAACACAAACCAAAATGCTCAAAAAGACACCAATGAGAACAGAGTACACGTCCAACGCACTGTTCAGAAGACTGTCATGAAAGCAATAAGAATGATGGAGGATCACGCTCCCGAGCCCATAAAGTCCAATACCCGCATAGTCGACCATGAAACACGTATAATGGATAAGTTCTGATTTGTTTGAAAAACAATGCGCACATGTACTGCAGATGTATAATATCACCATGGTAATGAGACCGGCAGACAATGGCCACATGTACTGGTCACCGATGAGGTCGAACTCCTTCCAGAAGATTCCGACTCGTACCAATGTTACGATGAGGGCCAGCAGATGTGTCCAACAGTTCATACATTCGTTGTGGATCTGGAGAAAGCTGAGGCAGTAGTAGGTCCAGGGTTGATGCATGTGTCGGAAGCCTGTTTCCACATGAGGCTCGTGAAACAGTTTCGGGATGCCTTTTTTGGTTGTGGTTGGTGTCAACTTCTTCAGCAAGGACTGTCCGGCCATCTTGTCTGAGTTAGCAGTTTATCTGTAATGAGAACATATTCTGTCAGATGAATTTGATATTATATTCATAGCCTACTGAATGATAGCAGGAATATATATTACATGGTACTTATGCATGTTAATAGCATATTGAGCTGCTTTGCATTCAATGAATGAAGAAGTGAGAATGTTGATGTGCTAGATACAGGTATTTGCAAGTTTGCAGCAAAACCAACAAAGGACATCTACCGTAAATTCATGTGTCACCACATTAACGCAAGTGGTCAAAAATGTGATGTAAACTTAATCTAGGTAGCCCTACCTTTGAAATCTAATAACACAAGCATTAATTGGCAATCACAAGAATTTGAATACGAGATATTAACAAATTGATTGAATAAATAGATATTATTATATGAGCGTGTGTGTCATACTGATTTTACAAAATGAGTGTCAGAATTCATGTATTTCGTGAGCGAGAATGAGGTTAATACATGAATTCTTACACGAGTTTTGTGAAAAGATTATCATGACACACATGTAAGTGTAATAATTTATTTATTACCCATTTGAGTTCACCTTTAGACAAATGCACTGATCACGACTGCTGACTAAGAAAAACACAATTCTGACCTTATGTCACAATAATATTTGAATGATTTGAAACCATACACTTCTCCAGCTTGAAGTGTGATCTAATAATTGGTTTGGTTTGTTGTTTAACGCCGCACTCAGCAATATTCCAGCTCTATGACGGCAGTCTGTAAATAATCGAGTCTGGACCAGACAATCCAGTGATTAATATCATGAGCATCGATCCACGCAATTGGGATCGATGACATGCATCAACAAAGTCAGCGAGCCTGACCACCCGATCCCGCTAGTCGCGTCTTACGACAAGCATAGTGATCTAATAAGTGGCAGGATATGCCAAATAAGGCATAATCACATGAGTGAGTGAGGTTTTTACGCCACTTTTAGCAATATTCCACCAATATCACCTCGGGGAACACCAGAAATGGGCTTCACACATTGTAACCATGTCGGGAATTGAACCCGGGTCTTCGGCGTGTTGAGCGAAGACTTTAACCACTAGGCTACCCGACCGACCCAATAACCACATGAGATAAGTCAGGTCAACTGACGAAGATTGTCCTGGTTTCAAGTGTTCAAGCCTAATATTTTGGATGAAAAGTTTGCAGTTACTGTACTGGACATTTTCACTACATGGATGAACTGTGCCTTGACTATGAAATCATAACATTGTTTGACAAGATAACCAAGATCAAAGGCCCTGTCATACAGTCAAGTCTCGTTAATCCGACACTCGTTAATCTGACAAATAGCTTTGTCCGACACTAATGATGGGAACCGATTAAATCAGTGCTATTTAGACCTGTTAATCTGCCAGTCTCGCACTCCAACACACCTAATTTGCATCAAATTACTAAAATCACTCGTGAATCCTAGTCTATGGTGACAGCACGTGTTTGATATTACAACGGCAGCAGAGATAAACTTGCTTAAGGATGAACAAAACAGGATTAATCCCATGCTTAGATTACCTTAATCTCATTTATATCATATGTACATGTTCTTGCTACTGCTGAGAACATCCCATAACAGGTCACGTCTGAATGACCTTTCACAAACTTTGACCAACCAATTAAATGACTAACAGGAAGTCAACATTAGCCACTCAGAAAACCACTTTCTTGAGCTTCACGACACAAGTTTCAAACTGGCGACTTCCATTCCATACTATGCTTTTAAAGTATTCTGAATCAGTTATACAGCCCATAACTAAAGTTTTGTGTTAAGCTTTAGAGGCTGCATGATTAGAAAACATATTCAGCTAACAAAGTAACATAACAATATGAATATTGCTTTTTCTTTTTTTTAATACGGGTTTGTATCGTTATCTATCGTGTAGTTGTCTGAATTTTTTATCATAAACGTTGCTACTACTTAATTTCAGTTATCTGATCTACTCGTTAATCCGACATAATCATATGCAACCAACCATGTCAGATTAACGGGACTTGCTTGTATGTGGTTGGCAACTGCCATTCCTGTATGTCTATGTACTCTGAGCTGTACATCATGTCCACACACGTTCTCCGTGTGCTTGGTCATCTCATTGAATGTGGTATAGTGTCGGACTTGATGTATATTTCAGATATTTGGTTCCTTTGACCACAGGCCTGAGGCAGTGAGATTTTGCGTTGGGCCCATTGTTTCAAGGTGATGGCCTGCATTGAATTTACGTGTTGCTTTATTTGTCACAATAACAGCGTTAGAAACTAACAGTTTTCGTCCACTAGTCCTTATAATGATAACATATAGCAAACCCCTTAAAAATGGCAATTTTCTACTAGTCCTTATGATACCTTTACCATTGGGCAGTTTGGCAAGGACTATAGGACTAGTGCCAATTTCTAACCCTGAATAATCTGCATTTTTTTCAATGAGAGCCTGAAGAGTTTAGTCAGGGTCTGCAGCTTCTAAAGTGTGTGGACCCGTGAAGATCCGGGGTAGAATATGTCTTTAGCAACCCATGCCTTGCGACTAACGGGGTTGGTTGGTCAGGCCCGCTGACATGGTTGATGCATGTCATCGATCCCAAATGCATGGCTTGATGCTCATGATATTAATCATTGGATTGTCTGTTCCAGACTCGATTATTTACAGGCCGCTGTCATACAGCTGGAATATTGCTGAGTGCAGTGTTCAACAACAAACCAACCAACCAACCAATCTAAAGTGTGTGGATCCTGATGGCAGCCTGGCAATCTTTTATATTTCAAAGGTAAACATGGTAAACATGGTAAACATGGTAAACATGGTAAACACAGATTCAAACACATGACCACCATATCCAGACACAAACAAGAGACACAACTCTGCATAGATAATTGCAGTAACTATGTCAACAGGACCCTCCATGTCCACTAAGGCTGTGTATTGGCCAAAATACTGTGTTGCAATATATTGCGTAATACAGGTATGTGTATTGTGAAACATACTGCGATATATTAGGAGCTGAAGTGCTTGATACTGATTGTACATGCAGATCCTTATTTGGACATACAAAAGGTAATATTCTGATGTCAAAGACAATGCGGACACCATTTTGTAGTCATGGATACAGGGTATACAGATGGATACTTGCTTGTTTCCACCATTTTGTCAATCAATTTTGAAGGGAAACATCATTTGAGAAAGAATTTCTGTTTTTTTTACCCAATATTGGGGAACACAGAAAGAATATTGCAATAAGTATTGTTTGAAAAGCATAAACCCTATATATATATATAGCATATAACAGTACCCTAATAGATCACCAAAATTGCAAGTTGCGCTAATAAAACAGTACTCTTCAGTCTGATACCGAGTACACACCAAATAAAAAAAATGCCAAAAACATCTGCTACGTCTGTATCATCATGTGACAACTCATGAGATCAAACCATACTGGGCTCAAATGTAAAAAAAATCCTGAATACACTGTTCATCAAAATGATTGTACAAGTTATTTGCAATTCCAATATTGCTGCCACAGTGGAGGTTAACATTCAAATTAGATTCAGTAAGAGCAGGGATCGAAATGTCCACTAGCCCGTGTCAGTCTGAAGTTTAACGCATCCTGAAAGCTGTAATCATTTCTGGCTTCGTAGGATATGCATGCTCATATAGATCCTATCACTATTTGCATCTAAGGCTCAAGAGGGTGGTGGGGTGGCCAAGTGGTTAAAGCGTTTACTCCTCATGCTGAAGGCCCTGGTATGAGTCTCCCCATGGGTACAATGTGTGAAGCCCATTTAGCGGTAGAAACTAACAGTTTCAGTCATCTAGTCCTTATAATGATAGCATATAGCAAAACCTTTAAAAATGTCAAAATTCTACTAGTCCTTAGGATACCTTTACTATTGGGCAGTTTGGCAAGGACTATAGGACAAGTGCCAATTTCTAACCCTGCCATTTTCTAGTGGCCCCCTTCATGACAGGAGTAGAATATTGAAAACATTTGATTAAAACCTAACTCCCTCCCTCTACAGCTGAAGTGAGGTTGACTAGGTAATATTTCTATGTATAACAATAATAATTTAATACACAAACTGACATCCATTTAGGATGAGGGACTAAATGAATGTTGTTTAACACTGCAGTCAGCAATATTTCACTTATATGATGGCGATCTAGGACTAGACAAACAAACACGCGATCAGGGAAGGATGAAGATAATTCTGCAGAAATGACTTATTAAAATACATACCGTATTCGACAAAATAAGTGCCCAGGGCGCTCTCAAAATTAGAAAAAGGGGGCTCTTATTCGAATATTATTTTAGTGGAAAAAAACAGAGTTGAAAGATCGTAAATTTCGTGGTTTATGCTGACAACCTGAAATGTTTATATACGACAGATATATTTTTCCAGGATTTAATTGCCCATCATTAAGGGTACATATAACACACGAGTGCGTATTATACATGAATAAATAAGTCTTGTGTACATTGATCAATCGGAAGGGGTGCTAATTGGGATTGTTCATTAGCCAATATATTGGCAAATATCGCCATGGGCACTTATTAGAGCGGGGCGCTTATTACGTCGAATACGGTATATACATTATACTCATCTGAAGGGTAGTTTTGACACTGGGTAGATTGCTTCGTGGAATGTCTAGTAATATCTCAGAAGTAGACCTGTCTTGAGCATAATCAGTGTCTCATACCTGTATATATACTTGTCAAACATACTCTGTACATCACTTGCTTGATAAAGGTGCTAGAACCTACATCAAAACGTCACTCCTAATTGTAATAAAGAAGGTGTCCATCCAAATATCTCATCCTTACTTAGTACTCCAACTTCTAAATGCCTCTCAAAGAGTGAGTATGGTTTTACGCCGCTTTTAGCAATATTCCAGCAATATCACTGCAGGGGACATCAGAAATGGGCTTCACACATCGTACCCATGTCTGGAATCGAACCTGGGTTTTCGGCGTGACGAGCGAACGCTTTAACCACTGGGCTACCC